AATATGCCGCCTGAGCATGCCTGACGCACATCCCTGTGGCGTGGAGGCCCGCACACCTGGCGAGGTAAAATCGATCGATCACATGCTTAACGCGCCGCGCAACATCGATCGCAGTACGGGCATGTGGCTTTCGGTAGATGATGGTCGAGCACTTAATGCCATTAGAACCGCACCTGAACTGCCTCGAGCGAATGTCGTCAAACTGAGCCGATCGCGGCGGCGTGCGCTATCGACGCGTGTGCGTGTATCATTGAGGGCCTTCACGCCGCCAACAGCTCGGGAGCAATAACAACGTTGGTCTATCCTTGCTGCGAATCATATTAGCTTACTGCACTGATTTTGTGTGCAATTAACTGTGTTAAACCAAGTAAAATATCTCCGCCCATTCTCAGTATTTTTTCCTGCGATTGGATAAAGAAGGAGAGATAATTTTGGAGCGGCAATATATAATACCGATGGGAGCGAAGCTTTCAAAGCCAAAACGTGAGTTCATGAATTTTTGTCGTACAATACTTTCAACAACGTAAGGGGGGAGGCAGGTGGAGCGGCCGGCTGGTGGTCTGAGATTCAGGCTGCAATGACTCCTTCTTAATGTTGCCTTTATTGCACTCCCACTGCGTGGGATCCGAGTAGGATGTGGGCTGCACGCCCAGGTGCGGCTTCGACCGTCCCAGACCCAATCCTCTTTGTTGGTCGAAAGCGTGGCTATTGGTTGTGTGAACCAGGGGGAATCACAACCACTTTTATCTGAGTTGTCTCCTGCGGATACTGAGCCTGAGGTGCAGGGCAAAATTCTAGACTTGTAAGATTTGGAACGCAATAGAAACCTCAACAATCACGCCATGTAAAGGTAACTACAACTACAATGGGGCGGCCACTTGGTGTTGGTGTAAGATGAACGACAAACAAAACAGATGTGCACGCTAAAAAGGAGGTAAAAGCTACCGGTGCAAGGGTATTTAATGGTATTGTAATTCAAAAAGAATTCTTGAGAAGATTGAAGTAAGAATTGACCGGGCTAAAGAAGCAGAGTGAATGCTGAAGCAGTAACGCATAAAATCAACAAGAGTGAAGCTATCTAAGTCAAAAGGTAAGTTGCTGAATCTCAGGCGTCCAACATTATTAAAGACGTACGGGGGGAGGCACGTCGTGTTTGTGTGTGTGTGTGTGTGTTTGTGTGTGTGTGTGTGCGTGTGGATGTGTGGGGTGTAGGGGTGTCAGCGATGGGTTCACGTGATGGTCGTGGTGGTCGCCAACTTGCTTGCAGGTGAGACTACGCCTAGCGTCCACTTGCTGGCACCCAACTCTCACTTGTGGCTCCACGAAGCTGGGCTCTGCTCAGCGGCCACACTCCGGGCAACCGCCTCGACTGGCGGGCTAAACCAGGTGAGGGTGGTTACTCCCTGTGCGCATCGTGCCAGGTGCACAAGATACTGCGGACTCCGCTGGACGGTTAGTCGTATGGAACACCGTGTAGGCGCCGTCGTGAAGAGGCTTCGTCTACGCCGTTGGCCAGCTGGTTGGTGGAACGTCGCATCGGCATTGTCGAGACGAGGCTCCGCCTGGTACGCAGTTGGTCATCTGGTGGAATGGATCTTCGGATCGGCATCGCTGACTCGCGCCCATCTGGTGCACAGCAGGAGACTGCAGGCTTACGGCAATGTCGTAAGCCATTGGCAAATTCGAGTCGTTCTTCCACTGCCAAAGAAAGTCGTGGACCACATTGGAGTTCGGCCGCTCCGGCACATTGAGCAGCCCTATTTAGGGAAGGGCACTGCTTCAATTCGGAGGGGGCCTGGATAAGCTGGCCTAAAAATTGCTGGGGAACCACGTCGTCTGCAGGCGCACCGTGGTCGCAGACGCAAAACTCACGGTCGAACCAATCGAAATCGAAACAACAACAACAAACATACTCATTTTCCTCATCCTACCTCTTCTTCCTCTTCCTCTGTCTATTTTTCTGCCTACTCTTCTCCTTCGTCATTTTCCTCTCCACCTCCTTCCCGTCGCCCCACTTGTTGTCACAAGACTGGCAGGGTTAGTTTGCTCACTCTGGCAGCCTGGAATGTTTGTTCCCTTTTAGACAATCCGTGGAGCAACCGGCCGGAACGGAGGACCGCGCTAGTAGCTCGAGAACTGACGCACTACAAGGTGGACATGGTCGCACTCAGCGAGACTCGATTCTCCGAACAAGGCCAATTGGAGGAGGTAGGAGCCGACTACACCTCCTTCCGGAGTGGTCGCCCAGGTCCGAGAGACGAGACGCGGATGTCGCCTTCACCATCCGGAACGACATCGTGGGACGACTGCCCAGCCTGCCGCAGTGAATCAACGATCACCTGAGGAGCCTCCGTCGACCTCTCGGGGGTGGGGGCAAATTCGACATCATCATCAGCGCCTACGCTCCGCCGATGACCAGCCCTGTGGCCGCCGCAATAGACAAATACTACGAGGACTTGCAAGCCCTCTTGGCGACTGTGTCGAAGGCGGACAAGTTGATTGTCCTCTGTGACTTCAATGCCCGCGTCGGCAGAGACCATGCTGCCTGGAGAGAAGTGCTGGGTCCTCATGGTCTCCGCGGCTCAAACGACAATGGTCTGCTGCTCCTCCGCACCTGCGCAGAACACCGCCTCATTCTGTCGAACACCTTCTTCTGTCTGCCGGAGCGAGAGAAGGCCACCTGGAGGCATCCTCGGTCGCGTCAGTGGCACCTGCTGGACTACGTCCTCGAACTATCACGATGCGCTAAAAACTGGGACTCGAAAGGTTACCAACTAGTGTTTCCCCTTCGACCAAGCAGTCAGCCCAGTCGCGTCTTTGCTTGCTGAAAGTCTAACTGGTGAACTGACAGTCTGACTGCGATGGTACTGCCTCATGCATGTGAGATCACGGGCGCTTCCTCCATGCATTTATAATCCTGGCGAGCACGTTTTGGTGGGGCGTGGGGGTGGATGGGGACTTCCAGCTAATGAATGCAGTTAACGCAGACGGGATCGCTAATACAGTCAGCCACTGCGCTCACTCCCCGCATCAGACAACTGACCGGCTCAGACAGTGGACTGGTGCCGCAGAGTGGGAGGAGAGATGGCGTCAGCGGTTTCTGACGCATATTCATCACGACGTGCTTGAAGCTCTAATAGTGCGCAGAATGCCATGGCTTGGAATGTTGCAAACTGACAGCATGTCTCGGAACTCGAAGTCTGTCCAATGATTGTTGTGTGGAGTGGCCGACCCTTGGACTGAAAATCGGGCTGTAGTGTTTCGTTCTTAATGTGGCATGTAGGGCGCTCTTACTCGGTCGGATCCCATCCGTTTCTCTTCTTTTTTTGGTGAAAAATCGGGATCAATGGATCAGGAGTATTGTGATACGCACCACACCATCAAACCTCTTCTAACAAGAAGGCTTTTTTATGCATCACTTTAGGACCACGATTTCACCATGCAGATTGTCCACACTTAGACGATTTTGATAGATCATCTTTCCTCACTTGCTGAGCAGATTGGTGGATCCCGACGTCTCATTTTGTAATTATAAGCTTGGTCTCTGAATGATACCTCGGTAGTAAAATGAAAAAAAGTTTTCTATTATTCTAATTTCGCCTTCAAATTTAGGCCCAAATTTGAATAGCAATACAATGCCCAGTGGCATCCATGGAGCTATCTCATTTCTTCCCAGTTGACTAGCGCCTTCTCACTCCAATCCACCCTACCGTACTTTTCATTGATCGCCTTATTTTACTCAGGTCTTACTTGCTAAACACACTCCCTCATGGACACATCATACGGTAATTATGGACTCGGCCTCTGAACGATACCTCCGTCGTTATCGGAGGGGATCTGCTGTTGCCATGTAAAGGGCATCTTATCGTCGTCTTCCCTGGTATTGATTTGACGACATTTAATGTCTTTGTCGGCCACAAGGACTTTGATGACTTCATTACCGAACTGTTCAGGAAAGCGACAAATCAAATACAAGGTCTGTGCATTAGTTGATGGAAGACGAGAGAGTGCGGTAGATGCAGCACAAGACTCCTATCCCTTTAAAACTAATAAATGTGCACGTCGCCGTCCCTGTGGAGCACACGGCTAGCATCTTCGGCCAGGACGATCGAACAACTGCGTATACTTTCAGGCATGACTTACAACTGATGTGCCAGGTAAATAACCCGTGAATGGTTTGGCAGCCGTGGCCATGTTGAAACATGACGCACGTTGCTCGCTTATTACTAAGGCTCTAACATGGATTCACAAACTGCAGGAAAGCCAAGTCTCAACCAGATATGCTGTCTTTCCACAAGCGGAGTCGCGTCAGTCTAGGAGCATCGGTTAAGAGTAATGACAACGGCTTTGGTGTGAAGTGGGGGGGGGGAGGGGGTGGCGACTGGGTGGGGCTTCGCATGTGCACACTGGAGTCACGCCCGCGTACCGTGAGTAGAGAAGGCATCGACCCTGCGAAAGGAGGATAACGCACCTCAAGGTCGGTCTTCGCTGCGTTTTCGCAGCGAAATGGGCTTCAACGGAGTGAGTGGAGACGAATGGAGCTCTGGATTAAGCCAGCAGTTCGGCTAGGCTGGTTCAACAGCAGGCGATTGAGTAACGCAACAGTTGAGAACTGCAAGTAAGTCTCCAACAGACTGGATGGCAGTCGGATCTTGGGCGGGAATAACGTTAGTGAGGTTAGCGCTAAAACATAAGTGCAAATTGTGTCAGAGATTGCAATTTGTAGTACGGATTAGAGTTCCGTTTTGCAAATCCAAATAACCGGAAGGAAGCTGCCCAATGCTGTGGTAGCCTCATTGGCTGCCTGTAGGTGAGATTTGATGGAGCCTTAAATAAAACCAAAATGTTCCTGTTGCCTCTTGTAAGCAGGCAGGGTATGCGAGAACCAAACCCGCATGAACATGGAGATAGACGCTTGCTAAATGTCCATATGATTTTAAGGTTAAAGCTATCAACGATTTAGGTTCCCCCTGCAGCAAATGATTCAAGGTGTGAACGTACATGTCCTAAATAACTACGCAGTGTTAAACAAATTTTACCAGGTCGCCGCTTAACGTGAATCTTTGTTATGTTATGCATAACACAACAAAACAGATTAAGGGTTAATCTTATACACAAAGTTGTTGGAATAGTAATCCTCAGTTACTCCTTTTGATATATTCGGTCAACTTTCTGATTAAGTCGGTTGCAATCAGGTGTTACAGTTCAACACGAATCAAATCACTGTTCGGTTACCCTAGCCCGAAATATTTTGCAAATCTGACCGCTTTTAACTTGTATCAGCGGTACTGAGCGCTTCAACAATCAACAGTGCGCAGGTGCCCAGTCCAAAGGTCATAGATTTCCATATTCTTCCAGGGCAGTCCGCCATCTACCGCCGGTTGGACACACCGTGTCACTAAATTCCAAGGTGAAATTATACCCTCCCCGGCATCCAAACTTTAATCTCAACCGCAATCCTACTCGTGGCCCCGCTAAACATCATCTTAACACTAAATGACCCTAACGTAAGCCATAACTGCAAACCCAACTCTAACTCAATTGGGAGGAGGAGGAAGGGAGGAGGAGAGGAGAAGAGAACGCCGAAAACCCTGAGTTAAAAAACGCAATGTTAGAAAACATAATTTTGTTTTCACATCTGGCTGCCTATCGCCTTAATTATTACGTATTCCTTATCGTAGACCACCTATACGCAATTTTACCTACTGAAATTTTCATAAGTGTGTGTAAAAAATGTCCATTGTAATTTATTCGAGCATTTCTTATGGAACCACCTGTCTTTCACGTAGGCTGCCCATCTGAGCGTGTTTTCATTAGAGCGGCGACTGATGGATTTCCGGTAGTTTTGTTATACACGGCTTGCCGCACTTTAGAATTGACTTTTTGTCCAATGCCAACCGTGGAAGTCAGTCTGCTAACGCACGCGTTATTTAAAAAGAACCAGACGATGTATCGATTTTTAGAGGTCAGAGTAGCCAATATGTGCAATTTGGCGCCTTTAAGTACAGCAATGACGTACACAGTCACCCCTTCGTTCGAATGGCCCAAAAAATGTTTTGTCTTTTGGAAAATCACATGTGTTGTCAAAGAAATGACTATAACCGGATAGTCACTTTCAGTTTTGAAACCATATATTTCCTGCGGTCTACTCTGTTTATGCACAGTAGATGGGCTAACTCATGAAATGTCAACCAACATTTCGAAATGCGTTCATGTTTCGAAAAGATAAGTTAAGAAGCGTTGTAAAACTAATCATGATGCAGCATAAATCTATAATAATCCACTTACCTCAGGGTGTCAGCTTTCGAAAGAAACATGCTCAGTTAAAGTCACCTTGCTCTCTTGTAGGTATGGACTCGTGATTACGTTTTTTGTAAATGCTTGCTGTGGATTCCTTTAGGCGATTTTTGACATTTCTAGACCTATTTGGGAGAGGGCTCGTGCGGTTCTTCACAGTGGTGATAGTTGATCTTTGTCGATCCCAAATGACAGCTCATTGAGCCTGTGGCTCAGTTGCGCAACCTTCTACTGCTTAACACTCAACGAGCAATGTACAGTAAAGTAGATGTGCTAACTCATGAAATGTCAACCAACATTTCGAAATGCGTTCTCATTTCGAAAAGATAAATTAAGTAGTGTTGTAAAACTAATCATCATGCAGTATAAATCTGTAATGAACCAGTTACCCCAGGGTGTCAGCTTTCGAAAGAACTTATTTCCGACTGCATGCAAGATCTAGACTCTGCAATAAATGACTACTTACGTAGCATGCAATTTTCTCATTGATTTTCGATGCCCTGGTAAATGCGATTATATTTCATGGAAAACATGCATAAAATACTCATTCTTTTACTTATTCGGTAGAAAATCACGTCTACTTCCAAATTCATACTCAAAATAAGAGTATAATTTGGTCTAAAATTTTTTTTCTAATTCTCGAATAATTTTGAACCCGACCTGCTCTTACACTTGCATTCAGCGTTTCCAAACTACAAGCTGTATATTTTCTGTGTACGGAAAACCATGCATTTCTCTGCGGTGTTAAGAGGAGACCATATGAGGTTCATAAAACTTAGCAGTGGATTTGAGCAATATTGTCAATTTTACAAGCCACATTCGTAAATGCAGATAAATGACGTTTCATGAACGGCCATTTAACGGTATTAAAAAATCTCACAATTAGAAACTTTTTTGAAACCAAATTATACCCTTCTTTCGAAAGCAAAATTGGAGGAAGGAGTGATTTTCTACCGAATAAGTAAAAGACTGAATATTTTTATGCACGTTTCCCACTAAATATAATTGAATTTTCAAGGGCATCGAAAATCAATGCGAAAAGTGCATGCTACATAAGCAATCATTTGTTGCAGAGTATAGATCTTGTAGGCAGCCGAAAATAAGTTCTTTCGAAAGCCGACACCCTGAGGCAACTGAATCATTATAGATTTATGCTGCATTATGATTAGTTTTACAACACTACTTAATTTATCTTTTCTAAACGAGAACGCATTTCGAAATGATGGTTGACATTTCATGAGTTAGCCCATCAACTGTACGTAATTTAATAATGGAACGAACAAGACATTAGCAGTTTCATCGAAAAATAAGTATTTATATGGCCACTCTCTCTTATATTCATAATCGTAGAACACAGCCTAATGATTAGCAAAGGTAACCTTAATAGGCATGGTATGAAGAGAAAGGCATGTTCTTCCGTTTGCGGTAGCAAGGAAACGTGAGGAAAGGACAAAAATCTCGAATTCGTTCCTTGCTTCAAAACGCTAAAATAAAAAGTACACAAACAGCTACCAACGAAGTATAGTATTAA